ATATTAAAAATACAAATGTAAAAATATGAGAATTTTATATATATCTTTGAAAGCAGGAGTAGCATCCACTTCCTAAACAACATGCCTCCAGAAATCCTCATGAACTTTGATAAATGTCAACAGTTGTAGAGGGGTTTCAGGCCTTCGGTTCATAGGGTCTCTATGAGTTGTGCTGGACTTGAAGGCAATCAACAACAATAGATACATAGATGATAGATAGATAGATAGATAGATAGATAGATAGATAGATAGATGATAGATAGATGATAGACAGATGGGCTAGACTGGATAGATAGCTAGATAGACAGACAGACAGACTGGATAGAGATAGATAGACTGGAGATAGATAGATAGATAGATAGATATAGATAGATAGATAGATAGATAGATAGATAGATAGATAGATAGATAGATAGATAGATAGATAATCAGTCTGGAGACTAAGGTGTGCCTGATCTAGACCATGGTCTTTGCAATCAGTTGCTATGCATCACACAGCTGGACACTGAGTGGGGTCATGGGGGTAAGTGTGTCAGAGACAGTGAGGTTGGCACAGGACAGTGGAGGGTTCAGAGCTCTTGGAAGGTCGCTATGAGTCACAAGTGAGTCGACAGGCCCGTGGTAACAATGGCATTCCAGGTGCAGAAGGTGCACTGGAAAAAGCAGAGAGTGAGCCTCCTTACCTGAAAAGCGGGTCCACCATCCTCTGGGAAGGCAGCCTCCACTGTGTGCGTGGCCAGGGGTCCCCCGAAGCGCTGCAGTCCAGGCGCAAGGTCGCGCCATAGCGCACGTCGGTCCTCCTTGGAGAGGTGGCGGTGATGCGCGCGTTGGCGGAGGAGGGCTGCACGGTCAGCTGGACGGTCCGGCGCGCCGAGCCCACCAAGTTGGTGGCCACGCAGTCGTAGCGGCCACTGTCCTTCGGGGCCAGGTGTCGGATGTAGAGCGTGCCGTTGGGGAAGACGAAGAGATTCCCGCGCACGAACTGCGACGCGCGCACTTGGGTGCCATCGCCCAAGACCCAGCGCACGGTCGGTGGAGGGGCAGCTTTTGCCGTGCAGTGGACGTGGATACTCAGCCCCGGGGGCAGCGAGATATTCTCTCTCTTCTCCTGATGGATGACCGGGGGCAGCGCGGCCACGTGCAGGCGGATGGCCAGACTGTCGGCCCCCGCCGCGTTGCTGGCCACGCATTTGTAGACGCCACGGTCGGAGAAGGAAGCCTCTTTGATGGACAGCGTGCGATTCTCGTGCAGCGTGACCCTGCTCTCCACGGGGGACACGCTGTGCCACACCGTTCTGTCGGGAAAGATCCAAGAAATCTGGGGGACGGGGGTGCCCTTGGCGAGGCACTCCATGGCGATGGTGTCCCCCAGGTAGACAGTGACGTCCTGGTAGTGGGAGGCCAGGATCTGGGGCTGCTGCGTGGTGACAAACAGATGGACGGGCATGGTGTCCACGCCGTGGAGGTTCTTGGCAGTGCACAGGTACTGGCCGTGGTCCTGCTGCTGGACCTTCCGGATGACCAGCGTGCCGTTCTTGAGCACCTCGAACCGATGCAGACGGGTGTTGGGGGTCAGGAGCGCACCTGCAAATCCACAAAGGCCTCACGTCAGTCCCAAGCCTGAGGACCCTCCTATCCACACCTGTCATGGATTCACACCACACCAATACAGTCTAACTCTCAGTCACGTGCCTGTCCGGTCAGAACCAATGCCTAGCTGACCCTCCTGAGTGCTTTCAGAGGCTATAAATGACTCACAGAGGAAATGAGTAATTCCCACACACACACACAGAACAGCAAAGGGTTTCCAACCACAGAGGAGCTGATTTGGGGGGTTCACAAAAGAACTCGTTACACAGAAAACCACCACGAAACACATCTGCATCCCAGAAATAAAAAGACATTTAAAAAACTCCTCAAACTTCAGAGCTCATCACCAAAACACACACACACACACACACACACACACACACATTCAGAACATTGTTCCTTTTCAGGGTATTTGTGTGCGTGTGTCTTTCTCTTCTTTGCATGTTTGAGAGGAAGGTGACGGGTTAAATTGATTTTCCATTCAACCGTTCACACACCATGAATGACAAATCTGACAGCGTAACGGCACTCTTCCCATTTCTTCTCTATGATGCCTGTTTCCACTCATCCTCCTTCCCACTCACAGTTCATGAGTTTTGTGCTTTTTCCCCGCCAAGCAAATGTTTCCCTGTTGCTCCCCAGGGATTGGTTGTTACAAGGCAGGAATGCCTCTCTTGGGGCTGCTTTACGACCCTTTGTAGGCATGAAAACAATGGAGCCTAGGAATCTAGGAATTCAACTCTGGGCCAGTGAGTCTTTTGTAAGATTATCAAATGCGTAAGGCTCATGATGCTACTAGGGTCAGAAGTGTGCTGCCATCCCAGAGGCATGTGGTTCAAATCCTACCAGCAGCTCGATGAGAATTAAATGGGCCATCTGCTATTGTGCATTTTATAGCCTCTGAAGACCTTGTTGGAGGAGTCAGTTCCAACGCCTGGACAATCAAGAATACTTATTTGAAGGGTGTTCTACAAGTGTGGTCTTCAGGGAGTTAAGGTATGAAGCCACAGACCATGTCTCTCTCCTGATGTGAATTGACCAGCATTTCCTGGTGGCTGGAAGAACGGACAATCTCCTCCTGTGTGATTTACAGCCTCTAAAAACCCACTGGAGAGAGCCGCCATGGGTCACTTCTGACCTTACTACAGTCATGAAGAATGATGCTGCGAGCTTAGTGCTTGGCTGGGCTCTTCAATGAAAGGTTGGCAGTGTAAACATAGCCAGCTTCTCCGTGTGGTGAGAGGAGATAGATTTGGGGGTTCAGATCTGTGGTCCCTGGGATCGCTGTGAGTCAGATTCAATTTGACAGCACCTGACAATAAGTCTATGGTTGTGAGCTTCCCTCAAGTCCAAGAGAACTCTTCGGGATGCTGTAAACAGCAGATTGGAACTCCGGTCTTGCCCTGCCCCTCTCTGACACGCTTGAGCCCATGTCCACGGTCATTGTGTCCATGCATTTTGTTGAAGGGTATCTTCTTTGGCCCTCCTTGGGAAAGGGTGGGGGAATGATGCTAAAAACCCCACAGGATGGAGTAGAACTGGCCTATGAGTTTCTGTGGCTGTCAATTTTTCTATAAGAACATGGCATCCTTCCTTTCTGCAAACCCCACCTCTGCAGAGCAGTGGGTAAATTTGCACCATGAACTTACCCATTATAAGCTAAGCATTTTAGACACGGCACTGCCACCATTCTTTGCCAACAAAGATCAAATCCTTGGTTATCAGTGAGCTAAAAGTGGTACCACTGAATTGATTGCAACTCAAAGCGTCCCTCGAGGATGTCAAAGTGTTTCCATAGAACATTTCCAAGGCTGTAAACGTTTTCAGAAGCTAGTTGCCACCGCTTTCTCCCTGGAGCCGATTGGGGGGTTTGAACCACTGACCTTTTTATTCATAGCCAAGTGTTTCATCCAGTGTGCCACCAGAGTGTTTTGGGATGAAACAGTCGCTCGGTGGAATAGTCCACATTCTAGATTCCTCCTTGTCCAAAGCTCCTTACCACACGATTCCATGGCTCCGTAGGGGGGAAAAAATAATATATGGGGAAAAAATAATCTCATGGGACTTACATGGTACATCATGAACAGAAAATGTGTGTGGTTCAAAGCCACCAGTTCCCCCTGGGAGAATGATGGCTATTCTCCTTTCATAAAGGTGTGTCCACCCACCCTGGATAGAGGGTCATGACTATGGGTCAGAATAGAACTAGCAGTAGAGGGGTCTGTCTGTCCAGCAGTAGAGGCGGTCTGTCTGTCCAGTAGCAGAGGGGTCTGTCTGTCCAGGAAACTGCCTTGGAGACACGTCCTCAAAAAATCTCCAGAGTTGTCAACTCAATCTTTCTCCAAAATTTTCTTGCTCACACGTGGATACCTCATACCTTCTTCCCCTCATGGAATCCCTGGTTGCAATTCAAAAGAGTAGGCATCCTATGTAGGCATCCAGCATTCTCCGAGACTTTCTGATCATAGCTACAGTTACAGACCTCCATCCCTCCAACTCCCACGCCCAGAATCTCGAGTGCTGATAACACAGCTGCCCCAACACTTACCTGTAGACACCTTTGTCCAGGTCACGAACGGCATGGGTTTGCCTGTCGCCTCGCACGGAAACACGGCGTCAGCATCCACCGTGACGGACACGGTCTTCGGGGACTTGGTGACAATCTGGGGTTTCTCCCCGAGCATCCAGAACTTGGACGCAGGGGGGCCTCCGATGGAGGAGAAGAGCCTTGAGCCGCTCTGAGGGAAGTTTCGGAAAGGCTGCCCGGGGGACGCAGTGGAAGGGATGGCGTTCCAGGTTGGATGGACCGGGAGGACGACGTGTCTGTTGGTCAATGGTGGCATGGTGGCCCTGGGAGGGTGGGACAACGGAGGAGCAGGAGGACCAAAGTCTATGTGAAAGACGCTTTGAGAAAAGACCTTGTGGTGAGATCCCAACTGGACTTTCCTCTCTCTGGTCACCGAGCTGGGGAAGGTGGGCATGGGGGGCTTCAGGGTGCCCGCTATCTGCGAGAATGCCAAAGTCTTGTTTAAGAAGAATGGGTATTTCCCCTGCAAATGTGGAGGAAGTCTTGAGCCTGGTGGCTTTTCAACAGGACGCCTTTGGTCAGGGATGTTGTTACTGCCAAATACTTTGGCGTGGCCATTGAACAAGCTGGTTTCAAGGTCACCGTGTGGCTTCGGGGAGTGGCTTTGGGGTCCGGGCCATGGAGCAGGAGTTGTTCTGGATGCGAATTTTGGAGACACAAAGAACTTACTCCCCGGGACAGGCTTTGGAGGATAGGCGGTGACTTCTGGCTTGTTCGTCACAACGGCAAACGTGTGGCGTGCTGGTGGTGACGCCATGAAGTATCTGGAGGAGCTCTGAGTGGCCTTAGGGGGTGGGCTCGAGGTCCACCTTGAAGGGGTAGGTTGGGGGAAAGTGATGCCTGGTTGGTGGGAGATGTGTCCTCTTCTATCCTGGTGCCAAACCGCTGGACCTCGAGGTAGAGTATCTGAAGCACCATCCTCCTTCACCTCCTCCATCCAGCCCTCCTTTGGAGAGAAGGTGGTGCTGAATCTCTGGAAAGCTGGAGGAGAAAATCCATTTGGCTTCTCTTGGTCCTGGGCCCCCTCATTGTGGAGTTGGGGGTCTTGGGGTTTTAAGATACCCATAGAAGACGTAAACACAACCTTTTCTTTGGGTTCTGTGGGTGTGGGAGAGGTTCCTGAGGGAAGAGATGTGGGTATTGTGGTGGTTTCTACCACCAGAGACACCATCACCTTGGGTGGGGATGTGGACGTTGGCTCACCCGTTGAGCCAGGAGTCGGGGTGTGAGCCTGTGGCCCGACTGCAGGAGGGACAGTCGCCAGGGTGGGCATTTGCCGATCCTGACCGTGGCTCGTGGTGTCTCCATGGCTTGAATGTAACTCAGGTCTTTGGGCTGAAAGGGTGGTAGAAACATCAAGTTTTTCAAAAGCCAGTGTGGAGACGATTGTGGAGGACGGAGACTCAGAAGAAACGTATGGGTTTTCCAACTTTTTCCAACGGGATGGGTCCGTCTGAGTTTCTTGGACACCGCCATCGGGGAAGCTGGTCTCTGGTCTCCATGGTTGGGCTGGGCTTGGAGCAGGCCAATGTAGAGTTTCTGGAGACCCTGAGGGGTCTTTGATCAATTCTTCCACGGTGGAGGCAGTCAAGCCAGCAGATAATGAAATGATATTGGTTCCTAATTCAGTGGGGACGGGAGTGCTGGATTTATGGTCATCGTGGTCCACACTTTCAGCAGCCTTCTTCATTTCCCCCCCGTCTGAGATGGGTTGATCTGTGACTACACTTTTGTCTTGCAGTTGACTGAATGGTAGGTGCACTTTGGGAGTGATCGTCAGAGAATCTCCTGCTCTCCCTGTCTCGTGTGGGTTCCTGGCTTTTGGGGGAACCTCTGTAGAGAAGTGGAACATTTCGGGGAGCTGGGTAGCCCCATGTTTATGTTTATTTTCTAGGACATAGCTCATCTTTTCTGGGAGCGAGGTGGTCTTGGGCACCGTGTCCCTTGAGCTCATGGTAGAAGCAACATCTCGATGCTTGTTTTGCTTCCGTGAATGCTTGCGTCTCATCCCTTTGGTCACCGGCTTGCCAGGCGTCACCGCCTCCCACTGTTTGTGAACATCTGCTGTGCCATCCTTGGCCTCAGATATCAAGACGAGAGGACCCTCGGCTTGGCCCGGGACCTCGGAGCCTCTAACAGGAGACGCAGAAGGCATCTCCATGGGGCTGGGAGTCGTTGCCTGGGCCTGCTTCTGCCGGTGGCGCCATTTGTGCGGCCGTGACTTCCTCCTTCCGCTGGACTTTCTACGAGGAGGGCGTGTGGTCAGCGTGGCGGGTGGGGTGGCCCCCGGCTTGGGTACCCGCGTGGATGCTGTCACGGTGGACCCGTCAACGCGGGGAGCAGAAGCGGCTTCTCTTATCTGATTTAAGGGAGACACATGATCCCTGTGTTCAGAGCCCTCATCTGTGGGCTGTCCAGAGTCTGTGGGTTCTCTGACCAGCACGTCGCCTTGCCCTGGCATCTGAGAGTACTCTTGGCCCATTGAAGACATCCCTTGAGCACCCACGTCTCCTTCCATTGCGTGGGGATTGTCCGTGTGTCCCTGTCGATGTATCAGCACTGGTCCATCGAGTTCCCTTTCCGACTCTGGCAACCTGGAGTCCACAGTCTGCCAGGTAGGAGTGGGCGTGAAGTCTGTGGTGGTCAGATCTTCCACCACCTCCTCAAGGGCTTGAGAATCAGTCTCTAAGTCTGAGTAGAGAGGTGCTTCGGTTTGAGAGTCTCCCACAGAGACGGCATCCAATGGACCCTCGTCTGTATCGTCTGTGACTGGGGACAAGGGTCCAAAGCCTGGGGCAGTGGGCCCACTCTCGGATGCTACTACCTCCTCCAGGACAAGCTCTTCATAGAACGTGTCCTGGGTCCACGGAGAAGAAGAGGTGGACTCGGAGGGCAAAGACGTGGACGTGGAGATGGATGAGTCCTCTTCGGCAGAAGAAGAGTCGTCCTCTGTCTTCTCGCGGGTGACTTCTAGGTGATGGCGTGTTACTTCAGGCTCAGCGAAGATGACCTCGTGGTGGTCATGTTCTGGCACCACCTTGGTTGAGGACCTCGTTGACAAGGGTGTGGACAGCTCGTCCTCCTCGACTACAGTCATATCTGCCGACAATTCTTCTGTGTCGATCGCCGTCTGTGGGGGAGACACTGAAGGTGGTGGTGGAGCAGGAGAGATAGGTCCCACCTCCATGACCGCCACGGAGGAAGGGGTCGTGCTCTGCGTGACCTGTGGGCCGTTGGTCACTCTGGGGACATTCTTCCCTCGGACTCTGGCAAGGATATCTGCCCAGCGTTCTGGGTTGATCTGCTTGTTCGACATGTTAATCTTCCTCCTGGATTCAAATCCTCTCCGGCCTTCGGCGACCTTGGCCTCCGGTTCCTTGTTCTCGGGATTCTTCCAAAGTTTCCATTTCCGACGGCCTTTCCTGGGCTTCCCACCTTCGGCTTCCGACTCGTCCTTTCTTTGCATGAACCCGTCTGTGTCCCCTGGAAGGACAGTCCTCCTCGGAACGTGGTCCTCGCTTCCCACCCCTGAGCCACCTTCGTCTTCGACCACGTCCCCTCGCCCCCTGGAGCCAGGACGCCGGCCTCTCTTTGAGGTCCTGCCGGATCCTCTCCTGTTCACCGTGACCCCCGCCGTGAAATGGTCGGTGCCTTGCAGGTTGACGGCCACGCATCTGTAGTGGCCACTGTCACTGGTTCGCGCCTTGGGGATGTAGAGGGCCCCGCTGTCCAGCAAGTAGGTGTGAGACGTGTTGGACGCTCCGTTGAGGATCCTTCGGTCTGGGAGGACCCAGCTGAGCTGTGCTTCGGGGATGGCTAGCGCGCTGCACGGTAACGTCACCGACTCCCCGGGGTTCTTGTCGACGGTCACTGTGTGTCTCTCGGGGGGCTGGCTGACCGGCGTCTGGACCGAAATCCTGTACACCATCCGGTCCGTTTCATCCGGCACCTGAGCGACGCAGTGGTACAGGCCCGAGTCCGTGTACTCAGCCGACCGGATCCTCAGCTGACCACTGCTGAGGACGGAGAACCTGCTGTCGGGGTCGTCCACGGGAGCGTGAAGGACAGAGCCGTCCGGCAGCACCCAGAAGATGGAGGGGCTCTGGGAGGCTCTGACGTTGCAGCTCAGCTGGAAAGAGGTTCCTTCCAGGATGGTCTTAGTGGTTTGCCCGGTTCCGTCCAGCTCCACCATCACCCAGCTCCTGCTGCCTGCCCGTCCCAGGTCCTTGGAGGACACCGTCTGTGAAAACTGTGCATGGTAGGACAGGAGCACCTTCCTGGCCATACTTTGACGCCGGTCCAGCTGGAGGTCGATGGTCGGCTGGGTGACCCAGGCGGGCTCAGCCAGGATGCGGGCCCGGACGCCCGTGTAGTAGAGGGCCTCATCGTCCACGTCCTGCCTGTACTCAGAGGGCACTCTGGGCTCCTTCCCGGCCTTGGGTTCTCGGTGGAGCTTCAGAGGGACCTCGCTATAATAGGCAATGAGCTTCCACAGCTTCTCATACTTCTCCCTGGTCATTGGACACTCGAAATCCAGGGCCACGGTTGCATTGACCTCCACCTCCAGCGGCTCGGTCTGGTTCAAGTGGACGGCGGCCAGCTCGGACGGCTGCTTGATGCGGCAGGTGAGGTCCACTGTGTTCCCATGCTCGTCGGTCATGTTCAGAGACACGTTCCACGCGGGCAGCTGGAGGCGGTCGAGGAAGGACTGGTCATCCACGTCTTCCTCTTCATCCCCTGTCTCCTCCTCACTGCTTGCACTGCTGTTCAGCCTCAGAGGGGACTGGATGAGCGGCTTGGTGCAAGCGACATCCCCGACCTTGTGGATCTCCTGTTTGAGTAGCCGCCGGGGACTGAAGCACGTCGCACACAGCTGACCGCCCTCGTACGCCTTGTCCTTTTTGCATTTGAGGACCCCTGAAATGACAGATGCACGGAAAGAGTGAGGAGGATGTGTCCACGAGGTGGCCAGCGTGAGACTCTTGGGGGTTGGGCCCAAAGATGAAAGCCAACTCTCATTGCACAGTTATCAAGGAATGGAGACTGACCATCTCCCAAGATGTGGGCAGATGTAATTACCTTCCATGATGTGTATATACAAAAACAGATATATTATTATGGAAGGTTTGGAAGCGGGAGTGCCATTCAGTTGCTTCATGGCATGCCTCCGGAAACTCTATGAACTTTGATAGATGTCAGTAGTTGTAGAGGGGCTTCAGGTCTTTTGTTCATAGGGTTGCTGTGAGTTGTGCTTAAATTGAAGGCAATCGACAACAATAACATTTACGTATAACCCGCCACATAGATACATATATACACACACACGCACATATACAGATATATATACTTATACACACACACATATACACACTATACATATATACACACACAACTATAAATACACACACACACAACTAAGTATATATAACTATATATACAATGATATATATCTTGTTGCTGTTGTTAAGTGCCATCAAGTCGCAGGCGACTCATAGTGACCCTATAAAGGAGAGTCGTCAACACTTGAATTATAATGTACACACACACACACACACACACACACACACACCACTCTATTGTTAACAGCTTTAATTTGC